GGCTGGAGGTATGTGAAGAAGGTGGTGAGCACAAGGGACTGGGAGACAAGATTGCTTTGTCTTTTCTGTTGCTGATGATCTGTCAGATAGCCCCGTTATCTTCACTACCACCTCATTCCTCCCTCATCCTGCACTCTGCAAGAGGTTAATTAGTATTTTTGCTCAGTAATACAACTCAAAGTAAATGCATTTTGGAACATCTCAGCCTGAGATTATGGGAGTGAAAAAAAAGTAGAAAGTAAGAGGACAAAACAAACGCAAAGAGGAAGAACAACAGCAAAAAAGAAATCTATCTGAGTGCCAAGGAATTGTTCACATCATCTTTTATTGGCTTTATAAAAACTGGGAGATAACAGGTGTTTAAAAGCAGTAAGGCTATTTGAGAACTGAGTCTCATGCTTCCTGTAGAAATGATGGTTATTTCACTCTGATCTGAAGGTGACAGAGGGGGTCGTTATTGAAGCTACCTGTTTTATTTCAGTACTGTAATAAAAAGTTCCTTTCTGGAAGAAAGACAGATATGACTTCATTAATCATGAATTTTGTTCATCCTAACATCCTCTGGGCACCTACCACGTAAGTCAAAGCTCTTGATTCTGGTTACCTCTGCAGAACAGGCAGAAGCATTACTGGAGCTGTCATAAAGTGTTTGTAGCTTTGTTTCCCTGCCACTTAAAAACACAATGCGATGCCATTTTACTTGCTTCCAATGTTTCTGGCCCTTTTACTGCACCAACGCTGGTGTTCCTTTGGAGTCTTGGTGAGCTGATTTGGCTCATTAAACCAGCAAGCTATTGTGTTTTTCTGTATTCTGATTGTTTTCTTTTGCTGGGATTGCTTTTCTTCACTCCGATGAGCTGTATTGGCTCATTGCAAGCTCAGATAAGTGCTAGAGCTGACTCAAGGGGAGGATTGAGGGGAGAATGAGCAGGACTACCCCCTTTAGTAGCAATGGTCTGTTAGATTGGCTTAGTTGCACATGAGAATTTCTACTCCTGTATTTATCTCCATGATTGTGTCAATCAGGGAACTTGCAGAGTGGGAAAGTGAGTAGTAAGAGAATTATTCCCTAGCTCTTTCAGTGCCATCTTTGGTGAACTGAGGCTATAGGGATTTATAATAGTAAGTGAAAGTGTGGGGCAAGATGTAGTATCTATCTGACGTGTTTAAAAGAAAAATCAAAACCTCTACCATGTTAAGTGTGCAGTTCTTTATTCTATTTTCTTTGTTCAGTACATGACTGTTACTTTGTAATAAGTCATGGAAATTTTGTTGTGAATAAACTGGTTTTTTAATTATGTTTCTCACCGTATCACTAATTTCAAAGGTGCATTTTTTTCAGCTTCTCTGTGCTTGAAAGGTATGGTCCAAGACAGGAAATGGAGACATACAGAAGGGGAAACAAGGTTTACTCTGATTCTCTTGCTCAGTACTTAGATATGTAGGAGCTGACGTTTTGGAGAACTTAGGGCTTAAGTTCGTATTTTACACCCTCATTGTAAGGTCATATTCAAATCTGGATGCAGAGTCTCTAAATGAGGAGAACATGATACCTATTTAGTTTAAATGACTTGCCTTTCATCAGATGGAAGCCCTTTTCTGACAGAAGAGTAGAATACAGTTACCCGGGGCAGCCTTCTGTTACAAGCTGTAAGACCATCCTCTCCCTTCCTGCTGTCCGTGGGTCTTTCACAGCATATGCTTCAACTTCTGGAAAATGAAGTTGGATCCTGAAGACCAGCAAATGTTAAATGAGCTGTAGTCAAACCCCTCTTGCGAAAATTGGTCATGAGCTGAGCCTCCCAAGGTACAGCTCCAGATGGACCTTTAGGGTTTTTTAAATGTATCTCAAAACACAGGTATTTACATATGATTTATTACCAGATAGAATTCATAATTTTAATAGAAAATGTGTCTGGGTGAATGTCCTAAATATGTAGAAATATGATCACTGAAATAATATGCCTGCACAAGGTCAGATCAGGAGTGTATGTCTCCTGCATTCTGATCTCTGACAGTGGCCGGTGGGGACAGGATCTTCCCTCTTTTTCTGTCTGACAATGGCACTACTATTGTACGTAGGTTTTACAGGATAGAAGGTTTCTTTCCCAGGAAGGTGCCTGAACGTAGATGTAGACTGAACTACTTTTCAAATGTTAGTGTCTTTGTTGATTCCTAACCTTCTTCAGGGGCCAAACGTACTTTCACTCTCCTACCAAATTTCTTCTGTGGACAGGTACTGCACTACCACCTGCTAAAAAAGAGGCTGGTGTTGCAGCCAGACCCCGTGCACCTGTGTACTTGCAACTGCTTCTTCCTGGCCACTTCCACCGCTGCTGTCTCTGGACACATGACCAAGAGGCCTTTTCTACGCAGTTATGCCATCTTTCACAACTTAGTGGATGCAATCACTGCTTCCATTCTGTGATGTGGCTCTAAAGTGATGTTAATGCAGAGGTTTGCTACAGAGATGCAAAAGACGGAATAGCTCACCACCAGTCACCTGCCATTCAGTTTTGCTCTGGTATAGGAGGAGACTTTGAGGGGTGGGAGGGAGAGGGTGTGAATCCCCGAGGACTGTCTCCTCATCTGCATTTTTTCTTGACGGCTGGTCCTTCTCATTTTACGAGCCTAGAAGGCAGTTGCTCTCTCATCTCCTGTTTGCAGGTGAATGCTCCCCTATTTGCCGCCAGATGTGGCGGTCTTGTCTATGGGTGCAGAGTTGCATGAGTTGTATGATGTCAGTGCTCACCTGACTGTTGCCAGTTTAGGAAATCGAACTGGTTCATCTGGGAAGCTAGCCTATCTAGGAAACAAAATTCCTTTTTCTTCCACTTCTGCAAACTGAAGCAGTCCACCCAGGGACTGACATCTTGTTTTACTGAGTTGAGACCATGGTTGTTAGAAGATCATGGTGCCAGTCAAACCACCACTATAAAACTGGGCATTGCAGTGGGGCTGGTAGCTTAAGCTTTTCTCCTGCTGCGTGTTCCCAGCCTTTACCCTAGATCTACAGATTTGCTCAGCTACGGGGTGAGTTGGTTATTGAGCTGGTTTGGGAAGTGAGAGGAAGCAGGAACTGATCAATGGAAAACTCAGCTGCATGATGACTAGATCCACATCAGGGAAGGGAAGAATATGAATAATGCTTTCCACAGCAGCCTGGAGATGCATCAGATGAAGCACAACATGAGACCGCACCTTATGCCTCATTACTCATCCTTGCCCAGCCATTGTGATGCTGAAAGTACTTTTCTACCTCATCTAGTGCACCTGTGATTATGTAGCACATTTCCTTTTGAATCTCTCTCTTTACATGGCCCTTCTATTTCTTAGTGTCATTTTCATCTTCTGCTAGCCTCTGTCATACAGCTTGAGGAGCATTGGTGCTACCCCAGTCAGCTTCAAAGTTTTCAGTTCCCTCTCTCTCCCTTAGCCAGTCACCTGAAGCCGTACCCTCCTCTGCTTTTAAGAGCTTTTTTCTTTCTTCCTGTCCTTTAAGTGAAAAAGATGGGACTCCTGGCTCCTGGAACTGTTTCCTGGAGCAAGTGGATCATTGCACAGATAGTTGCTAAGTTGTGTTTTCTGGAGGACAGTTGGGAACAATTCCAAACAGCTCAGGAAAGGCCCTACTTTTAGGAGTATTCTTCAAAAGACTGTGGGAGAAGTTCCAACATGGCATGTTTTTCACCAGAGTTGAAGGCAGATGGCTGACTGGCTGGGAATAGGTTCTCCAAGAATGAGAGTTCTGGGAGGAGGTGCAGAAGCAACTAAGATCACTGTGGCTTCCCAGGGGAGGATAACTTCTTGAAAACCTCTGCTTTCCAGGGGGTTATGCCTGTTAGCACAAGCCTGGAACATAAACTCGTATGCATGTCTGGAAGTTTGTCCAGAGAGGTGTCTGCTCCCCACAGCTTCTGGTTCCAAGAACATACAACAGAGGAACTGGTGCCTGCCCAGTCCTGGAAGAGCTTGGGTGCTGTATTGCCGTGTGAATGCACACTGCTGAGGATGTGCATGTTGCTGGCTGAGAGCTGCTGTGGTGGACTGACTTCTCTGTAGTGCAGTAAGATTTACAACATGCCCATGCTAAATATTTACTTAATGTGAGGCTACAGAAAGGGAAAAGAGCATGCGGATGTATTCACTGACAAACATAGGGTCTGAAGAAGTGTGGAAAGCTAAGGCTGCATTGGTTTTAAAGTGTACTGTGTTGGCTATAATTAAGATTAGTGAATACAAAATTGGTACTCGTGCTGGTTTTGGCTAGGGTAGAGTTAATTTTCTTCACAGTAGCTAGTACGGGGCTATGTTTTGAATTTGTGCTGGAAACAGTGTTGGTACTACAGGGGTCATTTAGTTACTGCTGAGCAGGGCTTACACAGGGTCAAGGCCTTTTCTGCTTCTCACCCCACTAGCAAGGAGGCTGGGGGGGCACAAGAAGTTGGAGGGGGACACAGGTAGGACAGCTGACCCCAGCTGACCAAAGGGATATTCCACACCATATGACATCATGCTCAGTATATAAAGCTGGGGGAAGAAGAAGGAAGGGGGGGGGACATTGGGAGTGATGGCGTTTGTCTTCCCAAGTCACCATTACGCGTGATGGAGCCCTGCTTTCCTGGGGATGGCTGAGCACCTGCCTGCCCATGGGAAGCAGGGAATGAATTCCTTGTTTTGCTTTGCTGGCGTACATGGCTTTTGCTTTCCCTATTAAACTGTCTTTATCTCAACCCGTGAATTTTCTCTTTTACCCTTCTGATTCTCTCCCCCATCACAATGTTGGGGAAGTGAGGGAGCGGCTGGGTGGTGCTTAGTTGCCGGCTGGGCTTAAACCATGACAGCATACACCACAATTACTTGTTTGGAGTTGAAGTGTATTCTGCTGCTTTTAAAATTAGATATTTTTAAGTTAAGACTAGATCAGTTCCTAGGAATTGCTGATGTTTTCAGTCTGAGATTGTGTTAGAATAATGCATTTGTTTTGGATTTTGCAGATTGCCTTCATGACCTTGACTCTGTTTCCTATCCGACTCTTTTTTGCTGCTTTTATGATGTTGCTGGCCTGGCCTTTTGCATTCATTGCTTCAATGGGATCTGACGAACAAGAGCTTGAAAAGCCCCTCTCCTGGTGGCGAAAGTGAGTCACTGTTGTGGTGAAATACTGAGAGAATCGCTATTTAGTTCAGCAGTCTGAAATGGAGAAGGTTGGAAATACCTGGTATCTGTCCCATAGACCTGCTTTTCTCTTGAAAAGAAAAATATAAAAACTGTTATTTAAGCACACGCCTCAGATGGGAGACTAAAAATACCTCAACTCTTTGATTTACCAGGTGACCCAAGAATTATAGGGAGAAAAACTGATCATCTCTAGCCTCTTACCTTTATTGAGGATGTAGTGGGAAGCTTCATTGTGACATCCTTCAATTTCAATTATTCCCATAATGTCAACTTCTTGTTATGAAGATCGACACTACAGAATGTGCCCAGATTTCATATTCTAAATTGTTGTTTTAAACTGCTTCACCCTGTTGTTTGCTACCCTGTGATGAATTGACAAAACTTCTCTTGATTCTCTGAGGGCCTGCCCCATGCTTTTGTGCTTATTAATAAGTCTGTACTTGCTTTGATATTGGAATGCTAATTGAGGTAGAATGTAAGACAGTGTTCACCCATCCATGAAAACTGCCGTTTGAGGAGCAAGGAAGGGGAGGAGTGTATCACCTCTTCTGTAGAGAAGTTCAAAATTAGGAGCTGGCACTAGCATGAGGGAAGCTGATTGTATTTTGCATCACAGGAGGGAAGAACCACAGAGGTGTGCCACCTTAGATTTCATTTGGAATGATATCAGTATAATGACTACAGGAATAATGGACTGCCTTCAGTCTTGCATACAGTTATTTTGAAGCTTTTTAGATTGTCCCTCCCCCATTTCATCCACTTGCCAGTGTCATCCTGCTCTCCAGCCTCCAGTTCCTGTGAGTGTAACAATTTGTGGTGTTTGGGTTTTGCACTCTGATTCAAAGTAAATGCTTATCTTTTCATGAGTGTCAGAAAGTTTAAAAAGCAAGCAAACAAAACCCCACAAAAAACCCCTGCAAAACAAAATGCTTTAGGAGGGGATGGGGTGGGAAGGGAAGAAAGTAAAATGTTTCCAAAGCTCCCAGATGTGTTCTGGGGGCAGCCCTGTGTTTGAGAATCTCCGCCCTACACTTCTGCACTGTTACATGTGGGTAAACTTGAACACAAGAATCAGGGCTGTTGCATTCTAGCAGTATCTTAAGAGCATTTTTCAGGGCTCAGATACTAGAGCTTTTTTGGTGTTACTAGAAAGCATTATTAGACATTGTATAGAAGAAATTCAACAGTCATAGTCTGAATCAAAATTAATTTAGTGATAAATGCCAATTTTATTGTGATTAAAAAGCAGTAATATTCAGGCATGAAATGAAATTTAATGGCATCTTACCTTGAAAGTGGTCTTAAATCTGCTGCGAAAGAGAAAACAAAAGGTCTATGCAATGTTCCTGCTCTGTTTAAGCAGCATATCCTATCTGTGCTTTTGTTGTGCTTATAAAGTTTTTATGTAACTTTTTTCTTTTCATTATTTTAAGGTATTTCTGTGGCAGCGTAACTGTTTTCTCAACTTTTTACAGGATAGTGGATATTTTGCTGAAAGCAATCATGAGAATGATGTGGCTTGCTGGCGGATTCCACTGGATAAATGTAAAAGGCAGACGGGCATTGCCATCAGAAGCAGCAATATTAACTGTGGCTCCCCATTCTTCCTACTTTGATGCCATTCCAGTAACTATGACCTTCGCCTCCATTGTGATGAAAGCAGAAAGCAAAGACATTCCTGTTTGGGGAAGTAAGTTGGTAGATACTTAATTTTTCAAGAATTAAAAATTTCTACTTAGGAAGTTGTGGAACCAGTTCACTGGTTGTGTATGAGAAGGCCTGAAACACAAAGGAAATTTTGCTATAATATATGGTGAGATTTTTTTCTTTTTACTGGTCTACTTTGAATGTCAATAGAAAAACTGTGGTTTTTTTTTTTTTTTTCCACTTTCTCCAAAGTTGAATCATTGTACAAAGTCAAGACAATCCTACAGAACTCATTGTTAAATTTGCAGTGAAATTGCAATGTTTTAAGACCTGACAAATAGAAAATCAAGTTAGGATGGGGCTGTAGAGGAAGTTGACCAAAACTTCTTTCTTGGTGTGAGTTGGGATGCCATCCTGGAAACGTGTTCTAGAAATGTTGCTGCTCTGAGTGGGACCCTGCCTTGAGGGAGTGCTGCTAATCCTTCATGTGTCTATAAGTTTGTCTCAGGCAGGGTGTGAGAGGTGGGCAAGGGCAGGTGGGTGTTCACTCGTCTTTAGTCATAAGAAATGCAGATGCCCAAGTCAGTAGTATTTGAATACTGTCTTTGGAATTATCAATGTTGAGTCTCACAAAGGCTTGAGAGACTTGTGATTTTTTGGTTCAGTTGTGCCAAAATATGTGTAAGCTTTTAGGCTTGTTGACCTCTAACCAAAGTCTGTGTGGAAGTATTTTGGAGAAATCCAGTGTGTTGTGTCTAGGGACCAGCAAAGTTTGAAGAATCTTCCGGTGTCTCATTGTGTAGATTTTAAGGGTAGCATAAAAAGGACAAAAGATTTTACTTTCACCTTGAGTAGGGACTCTTTAGTTTAGGAGTCTAAACAAAAGCTTTAAGTTCCTTCACAACTAAGTGGAATCAGGCTGTTGGTGTTGACATCCTCCTAAAATTTCATTAGAAAATGTTATTTTAAGGACACATTCAAAACCAGAAGCTGAGACATGGCCACAAATAGTGAGTGGTTAAATCTGGAAGTTTCATGTAGGGAACCTTTTGGTATAAAGGTCTCTCTGTATTAAGTAAAGCTTAGGCCAGAACTGTAGCTGTACTCAATTTCGTTGAATATCTGCCTGAATAGAGTTTACTAGAAGCTTGTGGCAGTGAAAAATCTGTGTAAAAAAATTAATAGATGCTCTGAACAAAAAGGATGTAGGCATGTGTTTTTAAAAACAAATGTATACCAAACAAGTGTAGTGTGAAAACAAAAAGAAATTGAACTCCCTTATCCGATACTGAAAGAAGATATTGTTGTGAGATGATATGTTGACACTCCTGTACAGTATAGGTGTATCCAGGCCATCTTGGGCTTTAGGAGCAGTCCAGCTATAGGAGCAGGGGCAGATTTATCTTCTTTCTCAGCTGACTTAGTTGACTGTTCAATAATTGCTAGCTGAGAAGAATTAAGTAGTCCATGTAGAGCTCTCCTTTGCTTGCAGCTGGACTGTTTGGAGGACTCAACCTAGATGAGGTAACTCCAGGCCATGTTGCATTACTGAAATGTGATGAAATGGCAGAATGGCACTTGACAGCACGCTGTAATAGCTGCTTAACTATCCCACATAATAGATTCAGAGGGGACTAGTGGGAAAGCCTGAGAAGAATCAGTAGGGATATGAAGGTTGTATCTTGAACTACTCAATATGTGTTATTTGTGCTACATTGATTGTAAGTATTTCCTATATACCTAATTTAAAGGTAACTTTTAAAGGGTTCAATTGAAAGTCTCGACTTACTGCAATAAACTTTAAAAATTATTCAGTAGATTTTGTTCATATGTGAGCAAAACCGGTTATAAAAACCCAGAAAACCACATATAGGGTTTTAATGGAATATTACTGGAATGTGCAGTCCAGTAAATGAGTATTTTGTCCTGTGTAGCTGCATTTGCTTTATGTCATGTAGCCACAAAAATAATGTAGTCCATTATGAAGTGTTCAGAAAAATGCCACGGAAATGAGGCATGGCAAAGGTCATAACTGGGATTCAGAGTTCAAAAGCTTTTTTTGTTTGTTTGTTTTTTACAAGAATACTTTTATATGAGCAACATTAATTACAGCAGTTTATGTTATTAAAGTAAATGGACCTTAACAGAGAGGTAAGTAATCACTGTAATGATTAGTTTGGCTTAAAATTTAGTGAAAACGTTCCAGTGGAGAGAAGTTGTGATTGATTTTTTTCTTTTACTGCTTGAAAGAGGTTTTCTGTGGAGTAGGTGCTACTTACTATCCTCTCCTCCTTTGACCTAGTATTTTAATTCCGATGTTATTTACACTTCTCTACATACACACACACAAGAATGTATTTCATGTTATTGGTCAACTGGTATTTCTCTTATGCTATCTGTGAAAAGGTGGCCGTGTTTTTCTTGGACTGTATGGTGAATTGTCAACACTCTAGACATTCATCTAGAATCTATCCCAGAGAGGCCGGAATTGGTTTTTATGTTCAGTTTTGTAAATCTTGCAAACTTACTGTACCATCTCCAGTGAAGTTTTGGAGCTGGCGATTGATAATCCTAACCTTGGTATCTCTAAATTGAGTTTTGTGAATAGTCATTCAGAATCTTCTGGGAAGTTTTGAATAAAGTACATTCATTTAACTCTGTGAGCAGACTTTTCAACATGTCAAAAATGAAGGAGCAGAGGGAATTTGAAGATCATTTCTAAGGATGAGGACTTTGTGTGAAGAGTAGATCTTCATCTACTTCATCTGCATGGAGGTTGGAATAGATGACCCTTAAAGGTCCCTTCCAACCCAAACTATATCCAAACATGATATAAATAACTTGGCTTTTTGTTGTAATGACAGTGTTTATCAGGACATTGTATGTTGTGTACCAGAGGGATCAGGTGCTTTAGCAGGCACAAAAAGATCTGATTGCTAACTGGTTACTGAGAGTGGTTCTAAAAGTATTTTAATGGGTTTCTGGAGCAGCTGCCTGTATTATTGTATCCTTAGTTTGCCAGCCATGGAATATTAAGCTTTTGATCCACTTTTAAGTCCGGATGATTAAAAGCCTATTCTTTATGGAATTGGAAGTATTCCACAAGTGTTTGTTGTGTATGAGTGTTTTATTGCTTTCTAACTTGAAGGCAGCTGTCCTGGACCACAAAATCCAATTTCAGAAGCAGACTTAAGTCTTGTGACTCCTTCAGACAACTTCCTTCTTTTTATGAAAACAAATAAAAGAAAAACCAAATTTAAAAAAATGCTCTTTTGCTCTGACGGAAGAGGTATGACCTCTTTAGTTAGTGGTCAGTAGGGAAGAAAATTACCCACTTGGCACACACTAGGTTAACAAACTCTGGGGAAGAACTGCTTGCCCAAATATAAAAAAAAAGATTTCAAGGATCATAAAAAAAAAAAAAAAGGTATCTGGTAAGTAGAGAAGACCAGAACATATGGAGCACATCACCACGATGCTGAAGGAGGATGTATCTTTCTGCACAGTGGCTTTCCAGAGTTTTGGTAGGTTGGAGAAATGAAGTTCACTGGACCACTTTATGTTAAAGTGTGCAGCCCTGGGAAGATAACATCTATGAATCTGTTGCACCTTATGCTGGCTGAAGAAGTTAGATCAATTAAATTGTCAGCACAGGTACTTAAACTTTACTGTTTTGTCTCCAGAAGCCCAGTTCAAGTCAGGACAAGCTCTTTGCATAAATTCTGGATAGTTACACTTCACTGCCTTATTTTTGGCTTGTAAAGCAACCTGGATAAAAGTTATTTTTTGTTGCTGAAGTAGCCAGTGCTACTGCAGAAATACTTCAATAAGAAGGAAAAGGGATTTGTCAGTAAATATGATTTGGTGGAGATTTTGTTGGACAGCTTTTGTGATTCAAAGATATTCTGTGGGCTGAGCTTGTAAAAATGAAATTTAAGGTGAGAAGCTAACATCAACTTTAAGCAGCTTCTCAACATCTGTAACCTCATCCTCTGAAAAAGAGAAGGAAGTTGGTACCTGTGAAATGAATGGGGGGGATATGTTAGCTTAAGTTTAGAAAGGGGAAGGAGGTCATTTGTACTTGGCAGAATACAGAAGAGCTATAGAGGAAGGGAGAATCATACTGTGTTGTAAATTCTATTACCTCCCGCCCATCTAGTAAACCTAGGATTTCTTGTTCAAGCTCATCTTTTGAAAGTGCTTTATAAGCCTTTCTTTGAGCATCACGGCTAAAAGACAAGAAATAAGTCATTCAGTGGGAAATATTTATGCTGTGGTAGCTGGCTATGTTTTCATCTTGGAACTTAAAAGATGTCAAATTACTCATCAGCTCTGTAAAAAGTTATGCAACCTAATCCTCCAGTCCTCCACCCCAGTTGCTTCCCTCCACCCCCATACCTTCCAAAGCACACAAGAATGGGAACCATGGTAGACCCGACCCACAGTTCGTCAGTGAGGATCTTGCATTCAAATGCTTCTGAGATTTATCAAAACGGAACTTAAACCCCTTTTGGAAAAACCTGCCGTAAGGCGAAGGTGTCACAATTTTCTTCTCTTTATACGCTGTGGATCAGCAGCTTGCAACACTGTTAAGGTCGCCAGCCTGAATGCTGACATCCAATGCGATGTCGGCATTGTGGCCTGCCTTGAGTACACAAATGTGCTTCCCTGTTCTGAGGAGCATCTTGAAGTTATTGCCAAGCTTGTCCATTTCATCCTCTGCTTTAAATAGTTCCATTTCAAAAGCCAATGTTTCCTTCAGGCTGTGGACACCCAGATGGTCCTGCAGTATTTCAGTCCTCGCAGGACCTCTCTTGGAGAGACTTAAAATAGTTGCACTGTCACCTGTATATAACAGGTATGCCTGTATTGTTTGGCTTGGAATCCTCATCTGTTGGATTTTTTTTTTTTCACCATAAATTCAGGAACAATTACTTCTCATTTAAACTGCTGCTGGAATGCCTAAACCACCACCACTTTTTTTAAGCGTCCTAGTTAATATAATGTATGGAAGTTAGAAACTACAGTATATAGGAAACCTGCAAACCAACACAACTGCCTCCATAAAATACTTTTTAGACTGGCAACAGAAAGCTGAAACATACAGCCATGCCCTTCTATAGGTGCTGCAGCAATCTTTGTGATACGAAAAGGGTGTTTGTCCCTCAAGAAGTCCTTAAAGGAAATAGATTGTGTTTTAAAAGACCAACCCAGATACCATGGAATTAACTTCTGTTTAACACTGATTATTTACCTCCCACTACTGACCTCTCCTTGTCCTACAGACTGCATGTTTTCTGCCTTTCTCTTTGGAAATAGGAGGAAGAACTTTCCCATTCACACTGCCTCTATACCAGGAGTACTTGGTATCTCTTCTGTCTGGTGGTCCATCTGATAAGCATTCAGCAAAACTCTGAGAAGTTCTTCTTGATGTGTGTTTGGCTTCAGTGGTTGGTTCAGGCTTGGGTCAAAGAAGTATATATTTGTGTGTATGATTGTTGCTCTAATAAGATACTACCACTAACTTTACAAATCTCACGTAGAGTACCATGACTGCAATAATACTATCTCCATAAGAACACTATAACTCCCAAGTGGAAAAGATACTAATTTTGGTTGACTTCAGTTTTGTGCATTGATACAACTTTGTGTATTTGTTGGGGGGGATGGGGTGGAGTTTGGTTTGGTTGGGGTTTTTTTTCCCCTCTGTTTTAAGGTGTCTCTGTCCATATACACAGGAAGCCATTTTATTCTGGAGTCTTAATGTTTTTTTTCCCTGTAGCCTTCAAAAGACTTCTGAGCCCCTTGCAGATCTCTTTTCTTCTTTTCTCTCTAGAAAAGAGCAGGTTTCATATTGGGTACTGCTTCATTAGGAAAGGTGTGAGTTCAGAACTTTACGAGCAAGTTCATTTGAGCAAGGCAACTCTTAAAAACTAAGCCCAAGATAGCACTTTTCAACCTTTAACTTCCAAATTTTTGTAAGCCCTAAATACAGAATGCACAAGAGCGCAACTGCTATTAGAAAAATCATCTGTGTTTTTCCCATCGTAGGAAAAATCAAGGAGTAAATACTGTAAATGGATATCCTGGTGCAAGTCTACATGTATCACGCAGTCTACCTCCATGTTAAATGCAGAGTCAGTTTGTACTGTCTCTATAGGCTGCCATCTCAGTGTATCAGAGGAACATCTGTGATGGGATTTTGTGTTGTTTGGGGGAGAGGACAAGCAAAAGCCTCAGGTTCAGTGTTCTCTACTCTTGCAGCATAATCTGTTGCTCTGATGCTGTTTCTACAGTGGTGAAAATGTAACTGCCTACTCAAAAATGGGCGTATGGATACATTTTAGAAGAACAGTATTTAGTGCCACACTGCCATTCTGTTGCTTTTTGTGTTCTCTGATGCCTTGGAGACCAGTGGTGATGCTGCCAGTATAGCTTTATCTGCTATATGGTTGTAACTGTCCAGCATAATTTAAATGCTTTATTAGAATAATTTCTTCTATTGTATGTTAAATAGCATTTCATGCCTTGATTTGAAACAAGGTTTCCTCACCCACATTTGCCTGGAAATAGAGAGATGAAATACCTTATTTTTTTCCTGTTATCCTGAGAAGTTCATTGACACCAATTGTGTATGTTCAGCTCATCAGAGAGAAACTTTTTTCTTATGTATCAGCTGGTGCTTGAAATGATTGCATGGGAGTTATGGTCTGAAATCACCTGGAGCTGCCACCCTGCAATTAAGGCGATACTGAATTTTTGCAGGCTCTCTTAAAAAAGGGCTGTTTCATGCTAGAGCAACTTTCTATTGGTTAGCCTGTCTGTGGCATTCTGGCTGCCCTGCAGGGCAAAGGCTTTGATGGATTACTGGAAGTACTGTTTAAACTGCAGGCATCTGCCTAAGAAGGTGGAGTACATGTGTCACCTGTCTTCAGGACCACTTGTGATGAGCTGAAATTGGGGATGAGAGCGACTACATTAAGTAGGACTGATACTGCTAGAGAAAACACTGGAATAATGACACTGGCAAGGTCAATTTTGTGAATTGATGGTTTGTCTGCCATCGCCCACTAGAATTTACGATTTAAAGGTGGTTTTAATGGAGTGAGTGGAGATGGGCAAGCACCTCTTTTAGCATCTCTTGAATACCTGAGCTGTGGTTTTCACTACCTGGTTACAATCGGTCTTGGACAGTTAAACTGATGAGCAGAGAAGGTTAAGATTATGTTCCATTTATTAAGCGTATTGCACAGCTCTGCTTGTTGCCTTTAGTTGCTCAGTGTGCCAGCTGTCTGAAGCATTTTCATACATACTGCTTTTTGCTCCTGCCCTGACTTTGCTCTAGTCCTGCTTATTCCTTGCCTCATACATACTAGCTTACAGTACTGTCTCCAGGCTTCCCTATGTTTCAACTTGACTCCTGAGTGCAGTCTCATCTTGTCCACCTATTTGGTATGTTTCTCAGCTTCTCTTTACAGACCTTTGGCCCTGTTCCTGACTATTTCTTGCACAGATTGACTTGGTGCAGCCTTTGAATTTTCAGATTCCCGTCTATTTACTGAACATGAAATATGTGGTGAGAGTAAAGGTCTCTGTAGCCTTGTCTCTCTTTTCAAAAGTGGTTATGAAACGAGCATATGAGGAAGGGCAAGTACAGAACTAGTCTTCCCTTGCTATGTACTTTCAGCTTCCTACTGATGACTGAGAGTTTCAATTTCACTTAAATTGTTGAACCTAGCCACTAAGGGCCTGGTAGTTGGTGCCTTACAGGATTTTAAGTTGCTGTTTTGCTGTTTAATGTTAAAACATGAATCCTGTCAGCTTTTTAATGTGATCCCTAAGGAAGTAAGACTTAATATGATCACCCTATCTCTCCGTTAGGTTAAGATTTGATGTGATGGGCTGAAATAGTGATGGCTCAGATAAGAACCTCGGAGCTCTGGAGTTACCTTATTCATTCCTTGGCTTGAAGTAACTTGAATTTCATAATTTGGGCCTGATATAAAAGAAACTTTGGGGTGAAGGCTTGAGGATGTTTGAGTCTTTTTTTGCTTTCTTTTACTTGATAATGTTGGTTTTGCTACAGAATAGTAATTTGCAGCAGCAGGGGAAACTCAAGACTAGCATCACTAAGAAACAAAACGAACAGGGTTATGAAACCAAGTATAGTTTCGTTTGCATCTTTTATTGCTTGGTCTGTTTGTTTTTTTCTAATTTTTGTGTGTGGTTGTTTTGTGATTTGTTTGGGGGTTTTAGGTTTTTTTGTTTGGTTGTTTTTTGGGGTTTTTTACCTTCCCACAGCAGTAACCCCAGCTGGCCCATGATCATCTTTGTGCCCTTAGCAAGCATTGTCATGTGGATATTGTCTAAGAGCGAACATGTAGGAAAAAGCATGGAGTATGGTAACTTTTCTCTAGTATACTGTCTCCTGAGCTTCAGCAACTTGTGGGATAAAAGCAGTATTTCAGAGGCTGGCTGAATGTTTGGGAACTTGCTGTAAGGTGTGGCAGATGAGTTTCACAGAACCATAGAAGGATTTCAGTGAGAGCTGACTAAACTGCTGGTGGGGTAACACCAGAATCAGCAGCTTTTGCTGAGTACAGGACTGTAATTCCTTATGCTGTTTTTTTTTCTTCACACTTTAAGCACTGGCTGATCCATTAATGCAGCAAGTCCATCCTTGACAAAAGAAGATTATACAACTAGTGTCAGTAAACTCATCTCGCAGGAGTTGGAAATATGAAAACTGTATTTTATATTTCCATTTTAGGCAAACAGAATAGCTAATGATGTAGTGACTTTTGAACTTTTGAATAAGATTATGAGATACATTTTTATCATTTGTGTATTTTAAGGCAACCTGCTTGGATAAAAGCATGAAGTAGTACATTTGAAGATGCTTCTCTTGTAGTGGTTTTTGACACTGCAGCAGAGTTGTATATGCTACTTATTTTTTTGTAAGTGGGCCTCTGTGTTCCTGTGACAGACATGCATGGAGAGGATACTGAGGATTGATTTCTGATTCTTGCTCACACTAATTTTGTGTCTGGCTATGTATAGGAGGTTTCCCACTGAGCCTGGAAGCTTGGAAAATAAGCATGCTTTTTGTTTTTATCATGGTGATTTCTCAGAAAAGATAGCATAATCCATGTATGGAATATCTTTGATGATGACACACCTTCAGTGAAGCTGAGCTGTAATAGGAGACAAAAGCTCTAAAGACAGTGGCAGTTTGACCCACAGGATGTCTTTTGGAGGTACTTGGGAGGTTCCTGCTACGTTGCTGGATTGGGAGTGGCTATAGATTTTGTGATTTCTGTTGTAGGAGGAAATGGCATATAGTCAGCCACAGCTGCTTTGTTGCAGAAAACTATGCATAATATGTATAATCCTGTTTTAAGTTATGTGATGTATGTGTATTTGTCTATTAAAAATCAAATAAGTACAATGTGCCAAAATTGTGAATATGGTTTTCCTTGCAGGAATTCATGAATATATTTCAATAAAACTGCAATAATTCAGCTGAGTATTTAAATTTGCAGTGTAATATAGCAAAATAGTTCTGTACTTATACCAAAATTTTTGTCCAGAGGACTGCTGGGCGGGGATCTTTTTCAAACAAAGGGGAAATAAAGGCTCTTTTGCTTGTTTTTGTTTTCCTTCCTCTTCAGCTCTAATCAAATACATCCGACCAGTTTTTGTATCTCGGTCAGACCAGGATTCTCGCAGGAAAACTGTTGAAGAGATAAAGAGACGTGCTCAGTCTGATGGTAAATGGCCACAGGTACTGTATACTACTACTGTGTGACAGATGGTATTTAGCATTTCCAGGCTTTGGATCTGTAGTTTACTTTTTTCCTTGTGGGATGCTTTTGATGGTTGGTGGGGGGTGGGATTTCCTCCCTCTTTCTAGAAGTTATAATGTAAATTCTTATCTGTAGAAAACACTAGCTTTTCATTGCAATGTGTTTCAAGGGGAGACTGGGTAAGTACATGGGAATAAAGCTCTATTAAGCGATACTAAATGGACAGACCACATCAGGTTTAGAAAGTCCTCTAAGAAGAAGAAGAAAATAAGGTGCTCAGTAGAATACCTGGGGGAGTATTGTGCGTTCTTGCCCTTCTCAGGATTTCGGCATACTGTCATTATTGGAGATGTGATGCTGGCCAAGCCAACCCAAGCAATTTGTGTGGTTCCAATAACCAGAGTACACCTCTGTTGGACCACATGATGAAAACATTGCTAAAATAAGTGGCTCAGGGGTTTATCTGCACCTGAAATGTGACTGTTTATAATATGCCTTGGAAGACAGTAATGGAAAAGAAGGGATGACTACCTAAGGTCTCAATTTTCTAGAAGCATATGATTATTTTGAAAACTTTAAGCATTATTCTTGTGAATTTTTGAGATTAAGATACGGTATGTCTTTCATGGCATTGTTACTACTACAGTGGTTACGTCTGCATACTGGACTGCAGAAACTTTATAAATGGTTATTAACAATGTGATAGGTGATACATAGCTTTCACATCATGACTTTCATCAATAGATTTCAAAGTGCTTTAAAAAGTAAATATTCTTACAGATGAAGAAGCTGAGTTGCAGAGCTGAAGTGATTTCTAGAATATCTAGCAAGCTAGTACCAGAGTAATAACGTTAATTCTAGTTCATTGCTTTGTCCCCTTAGGATATGTATTTGTTTCCTTTAAATGTCTTGTTCTGTAACTCAACAGAATTTCAGCAGTTCTTGGCTTTTTGCTGTCAGAAACTTTTTTTTTGTCAATCTAACCTCTTCCTCTGAATTGGGTTCTACTTAAACATTTTATTCCTTGTTAGAATTCTGTTTAAATATTTTCAGCCTCTGTCATTCTGACATCTGTGCACATGCCAAGTAATAAATGCAAAAAGAAGATAACAGTCTTCCTTTGCTGAGCCTGTAAGCAGGTAGCTTGAGAGCAGGAATTTAGTTTTGGTGCAAAATGGGATATGGTATTTTTACCAGCACCAAAACATTTTGTGAAAATTCTCTTATACTCACAAGTGTTTCTGGTTGCTGTCCATGTTCCAATCAAATAGACTTATTATCAGAGGTCAAGGAAGAGGCAAATTCTCAGATAAAGAAAAATATTTTGACTATTAATACACAACTTTACTTGACTTCTTTACTGAGCACTATTTTTTTTTTTCTCAGAACTGTTTTTCCCTGAATACTTGTTACTGTAATCAGGTTAACATTAGCTTTGAAAAGATGTGTTTATAAATAAATTCACATTGAAATATTCTTAAAAGTCAACTTTTTTTTTACTTCAAGATAATGATATTCCCAGAGGGCACTTGCACAAACCGCTCCTGTCTAATTACATTCAAGCCTGGTAGGTATGATGCTCATTTCTCTGTTCTCTACAGAATGTTCTTGTATCTTCATTTTCTGAAATACCACTTGCATTGTAATTTGCTTGCTGTTGCAGAAGCTGAGTTAAAAATCTTGCAGTAGGATGGTATTGGAATAGAAATTTTCTGATGCTCCATAAGGATTGTAGTTCCACCATTGAGCAAAATTTTTTAGATTATTCAGATATTTTCTTGGCTTTTGAGATGCACATGAGCTGGAGGATTAATGTTTCTTACTGGGTTTTTGTTTGTGGTGGTTTTTTTTTTTTTCTTGCCCCCTCCATTTCCTATTTTGGGTCTGTCATGCAGCATTTAGATACACTATAAAGCTTAAGGTATCAGTGTGTATCTATTTCATGCTGCTGCAGCATTTGTTGCTGTGTTGTATGTGGTCGATTCCTCTTGAACTCTTCTGTTGTGTCGCATTCTGGTGAAGATGACACAAGAATCTTGCCAGTATAGCAATGTTAGGCTGTCTTTTTTTACAGTATTTTTTATTTAACATCCACATTTGAAGCTCTTGAGTTAGTATCACCCTTTTAGCTTATCAGATTAGTAGAGAGTGTAATACTGAACATTGTTGCAGTAGTAAACTGCAGTTACAGTAGGGAGAAATGCCAATACTGCAGTGAACCACCAATGTTTAATGTAAACTTGCTTTTATGATATAGGTAGGGAGATGGTGAATGGGGAGGCTGCAGTGAGCGATGCGGTTGTGAATGTGTTTTTTGACTCTCCTAGGTTTCTGCCTAGCTCATTGTGTTCTGGTCTTACTGTGTATCTTATATTTTGTGTTGCTTACAACTTACTTATCGCTATTAGAATATCATGCAGTGAGTCAGCATTGTGATTCCTTGCACTGATTCATTTGGCTGAAGGAATCTCAGTATTGTCTCCTGAACAAACATTCAAAAAGCTTTTCTTCCTCCACACTCAGCTTTTACCTTTCTAGATGAATGGGTGATAGTTAGGAGAACATCCGCTTCTTTCACTCTTTACTCTTCCTCTCCCTATCTCTCCACCTGAATCTTGGCCATGATTTGAAAACCAGCCTGAGTCCTTCATATAAAGCTCTGCTTTCCTGCCTTCCCTCTGTGCCATAGACATTCCAGGCACCATATACTTTCTGCCTCAAATACCCACTCTATCTTCTGCTCCTCTGGTGTAGTATACGCTGCTGTCTGCCTCTTAGCTGTCTCATTTTTCCTACTGGAACCTGCTTCTGTATCGATCCAGCCGCCCAGAAATCCTTTGCCCCAAAATTCCTCACTTACATCAAATTGCTTTAGGTCTCTATTCAAGTAGCTGCTTTCAGGATGCCTTTCCCCATTCTACTCATGTGGGCTTACGCTCCTTGCTCTTACTACGCAGTTTTTTTTGGTTTTGTGTTGATGCAAGCTAGTCACACGGGACAAGCTAGTCTAGTTTTGTTTAAATGGTGGTCTTGTCATCTACTGCTCAGATTTTGTCAGCTTTGGATTCTTTCAAAAGTTGCTTAGGCTGTTGCTTTTGGAGACTGCATAGAAAGTACCACTTGCCCAAGAACCAAATCTCTGCAGGATCCCATTCAGATAACCTGTATTTAAATGTTTATACTCCATTAACAATTACTACTTCTACATCTATGCAATTAATTTTGTAAAGCAAATGTAATGCTAAGAATACAGTATGCTTCCATTCTTCAGTTCTTAATTTTAATTGAAGTAAATTGCTATAAAAACATAGTTTGAGTGAAGACTGTCTTTATTGTTTTCATGAGATAAAGATGTTTAGAGAAATCTTGACCAAGATAGTTATCATGCTTACCCAATCTTTGTGCTAGAAACCAAGAAGATGATTAGCAAATTAGATCTTGTGCTACTCATTTATCAGAGCTATACTTTTCATATGAAATGAAGTGATACTTGTGTACAATAGCTCTAGCTCAATCCTTTCTAGCTATTAGATTTTCCATAGCTACAGAATAAACAAATAAGCCCTCTGAGGGGAATTTAGGTGGGAGAAAAGAAGTTAAATTAATTCTGTTACTTCAGAGATGATAAATTTCCTGTAAATCGATGTTGTCCAGCTGAAAATAGAAAGCTTTTGCATAAGAAAGCTTAGGTTCTTCACCAAAAAATACTGTTGACCACAGGGAATATATTGACTTAACTATCTTGCACATACTCATATTTTTTTAATCATTTATCAAGCTGAATTTGGTACTGAGCTTTGGCTTATGTACATGACAGCTTATGTAAGTGGTAGAGATAATTTAGAGAACGCAAGCAAGCATTCTTAATTATTTATCTTCTGAAAAGGTGGGTGTACATTGTCATTCTTCAGTCCTTGCTTTTTAGATCACTTTTGAGGCTACTTTTGGATCTTATTTTTTCACTATTAACTAATTCCTATACATATCAGCACAGTAATTGTTTAATTCTTTACTGCAATAAATTTCTTCTGCACCAAAATGCGCTATAATGTAATGATGTGTCATATGTGCCTTCTAGGAGCATTTATTCCTGGAGTTCCTGTACAGCCAGTGGTTTTACGTTATCCAAACAAACTGGTAAGTTCAGCTTGCAGTAAATATGGGGCTTTTTCCTCTAAATACATTGGCACTTCTGTAATCTTCTAGGCTAGATAATTAGATTTAGAAATTTGGAAAGCATTAGTAAATGCTTATGGGCTAAGTATGCATTCCTTAAGCCTCTAGCAGTATAAATAGTCTTAACTGAGACAGTTTAAATGTTTCTGATTTTATTAGGTTACTCCTTTAAAACAGTGCTCTGGAAGTTATTCATCTTGTTACAAGAAGTCCTGTACAAATTACAAGACAAGGGTTAATTTCTGTCTAGGATCTGTGTTCCCATGTGTTCCCAGTTACTGCAGTGTATGCTGGACAGTTTTCTTAGTATCATTTATTGCTGGAAGATGCTTCTACACCTCCTGCCTGTGGGGATATTAGTCACAGATTAATGCAACTAGCTAAATGATAATAGAACAATGTGTTGGGGATGATCTCGGCACCTTTATAAAAGTGTCTCATTGTCCATGTTTTACATTCACTGTGCACTTGGCTATGGAATGCTAGACACTAGCTAATTTGGAGTAGTCCTTCAATAGAAGTTAGATTCACGTAAATTGTATGTGCAAATTATAACATTTATTTACAGTATCTAAATTAAACAATTGTTAAAAATACTTGTAAAGATATAGGCAAACAAATGAACACAAAGCTCACTTGATCTACTTCCAGATCAAGCCTATAGGAAAGCACGGAAGAGGGATTTTCTTTTTTTATATTATTATTATTCAGTTTACCCAATATAGCTACTTTCCTGTTCTTGCAGCCAGAATCCTGTCTGTCTACATTCCTTGGTTAATTAGAAGGTGCTTCCTGGTGCACTTTGCTGGCTTTTATAGTTGAAGTTTCTTTTTGAGACCTCTGGGGCTATTTTCAGGTCCAGTCTGCCCCTTCTAAAATAGAAGTTATTTAGGGGAGGATGGGAGGAGTGTCAAAAGTAAAGTAAGGACTACCTTGCCTCTTTGCCAATGCATGTCACATCAGAAGATCTCATGTCATCTGTCTTTGTCTAGCATGTTAACCTCTCGATCTAAGGAAGGATTTAGTTTCCTCTTCGTACCTAAGTGCTTGTGTTTTATAGCATTTCCATCCATCATTCTTTGTCAATTTACAGGTTGGTACAAAACATATGCTTGATTACAAAATAAAAGAAGCTAAGCAAAGTTAATATACATAGACCACCACTTGCTCTTGACTGAGACAAGGTGTGATGGCAGTCAACTAGTTCACAGTAACAAATCCAAAAATTATCTTTGTGGCTGCTGTGACAAGTATAGCAGCCTGTTATGCTCACATGGTATTAAGTGCATTGTAGCAGGTTGTCTGGGACTTTTCATTATGTAATTGGTTTATTTTCAAGAAGAAATATTATTTTCTAAAAATATTTTTAAGACTTTATTGCACTGCCAATTTAAATGGAAAATATGCAGGTGCCTTATGTCACACTTAATAAACCTTGTTACTTTTGGTTAATAGTAAACATATTTGTAACAATATCAAACAATATAAAGCTATCAAACATTAATTTGCAAATATCTTCAAAAATTGTTTTCATACTGAAATGTCCTTACTGCCCATAGTACATAATATGCAACATCCGTAAACTAGTGTTAAAAATTCCTAATACTCTGTTTATGAGCTTTTTACATTGACGTAAATCAATGTAAATTTTACTGAAATTTGGCATAATTTTAAAAATATTATTGCAAGATGTCATAAAAGATATTGTAAATATTTATATAGATATCCATCAGAATTGGCCTGAATCAGCGTAGGGAACTTTACAGTAATTAAAATTATTAGGAAAAAGTAAAACACTTAGGTTTCTGTGCTTTACTGAGCCATTTAACCTCCTAAGATCTACTTCCACTAAGTATTAATGGAGGGGGGAGAATAATTGCTGTTACTATTTAATTTTTAGATTAGTTTGGGGGCTGCAGAAGAGTTGCAGCAAAGTTAGAATGAGGAGAGGAAGGAGGAGTATGATGTGATACATGAAGGTGAGATTTATTTTGGTTAGGATGCAGTTAAGAATTAGGTAGCAAGTAAGAACAACAGGGTAGGGAGAGAACAATGGGTTTTATACAGTAAGGCAGCATTTCTAGCAAACTTTGTCTCTGGTTTCCTGTTTGTTGCCTTATTTGACCCACTGCATATTATAATTTTAGGTTTAGAAAGGAATTTCTTAAGATCTTCACTTAGCTGCTGAATTCCAGATATGCATCATGAACAGTCACCCCCCTGCTTTTAGCTTGAACTGCCTGCTCCATTCTACTTCAGAGCTCTGAGTGCTACAGTGCAGATGAGAATAGTTTTGGGCTTCAGTGCAGCTGACAGGTTTAGGCGGCTCTTGGAGACGAGAGCCTGGGGTGAATGTAGTAGGTGTATGCACTCATACATGTTTTTTTTCTTGTATTCTATTCAAGAATTAGGTAAAATACTACCATTCTGCAGTGTACTGAAACATGTGACAAAAAATGGTGATGTAAATTCAGTTCTCTTCTAGCAAATAAATAAATAATGCCTCTGGTCCTGTGTTGATGTTTCTTTAGGAGTAGTAGTATTTTGGTGTTGCTCCTCTTGATGTGTGAGCAGAAAGAAGTTGTAAGGCTTAAAATGTTGTTTAGACTTGGATTTCAAAATTTGCTTCTCTTTATCTAGTTTAGTAGTATTTTGCCTATTGGATGCTAGACAGCTGTTACCTATATTCTAATTAAAAGAAATGCTCTAATGTTGCCATCCATAGGTTCTACAGCAATCCTTTTTGCAATTAATTTTTACATTAATTTTCTTCATGTATACAGCTTTTCCTTCATTTGAATCTTCTGTCAGTGCTGGTAATTAGGAAAGGCTATATAGCTGTTTAAATATCACAGAGCCATTTAAAATATTTTTATGTGCGAGTGTCTTCCACAGGTAACTGTGCTATTTGATAGGAGGTTTGGCAATATCTCTTGTGCAGCTTTGGTGTATCGGGGTTGATTGAGCATGTAAAAACACAGCCAATCTGCTGCTTGAAGCTTGGCGTGATTCTCAATATCTTCTTGTGCTTGTGTCAAATACAAACTATATGGAAGACGTACTTCCACAGAGTTGAAAGGATTCATTATCTAGAGGCAAAAGTTTCAAAGTGTACTTAGAATGCTGTCAAAGTGAATGCTGTCCATAAGCATCAGCTGGTAGCTGTGATTAAATATAAAAGGTATCTAAACTAGGTATAGAAAATACCACTTCCCGTCTTCTGCTTGCTGTTTTTATCACAAAAATACTGGATGTGCTAGCAGGAGTCTCCTACAAAATAGGTCTGCTTCTTGCAGAACTGCATCCTGTTTTCCACTATGGAGCATTTGTAGTAGTCATCCCTGCTGCATCCTGATGATCTCGATGAGAAAAAGCATGCACGTCTGCTGTGACATTCACACTGGGAATTTCTCGCAGGATTGTTGGTGGATACATGGCTTATTTGAGTTTGTTTTGTCAGCTAGCCAGCACAATGTCTGGATTCTGAAAATACTTATTCACTGTTCAGTGATCCATTGCCCAGGCAAGGTACCTTTCTAGAGCTCTTTTTGTCTCCATCTACACTGTTGCAATTTAGAGAGCTAAGTTGAGTGTGTGTGGAGCTGTGGTGTTGTTCTTCTGTATGGCAGATCTGGTCTCTGAGAAATTGTCAGCTATCTACATTGTAATGGTCAGGGTTTGTAAATTAAAGTTCCTTGTGGAAAAACCCCAGCTGTATTATCAGACACATCAAAATTGCCAGAAACAGTTTAACAGTAAAACTGTAGACATTGAAGATATACAACATCACTACACAGAGAAGTCTATTTTCATGCACGTGTGTTGATTGCTAGATAGGGAATCATTCTTATATTTTGTTTGATTTAAAATAATTGTTGAAAGTAAAGACTTAAATTTTTAGTAGTCCTTCATGATATATTGATCTTATTCCAAGCTGTTGATCTATCACGTTAATCACAATTTTCACCTTTTATGGATGTGTTGCTTTCTTTAATTTTTACTTGTGACAGCCTTTTGCTCTAAATGGGAATTAAAACATGAATTTGACTTGATTTTTCAAGATCATGGCATAGGTGATCACCTAAACTCTAAAATGGTTTTGAATGGTAGCATAGAACTGAACATTTTCAGTAGGTGATAGAAATATCTTTCTGATCTGATCTTTTAGAAACCTGAATTTACAGAGTCCTTTTGTCTTTCCATTAATGACTTGTATTTTTTTTTCCCAGTTGGTCAGAACAATAGCTTGGAACTAACTTTCACGTTTTTGGATTCTTACTTCTATGCTTACATCTTGTCTCCAAGTATTGCAGTTTTTTCCTACACGGTTTCTTAGTCTTACAGTTAAAAATGTGATGACCTTTACTGTCATTTTTTTTCTTGTCACCTGTAACATACTCATTTCCAGGTCTCTGTTCCCTTTTAGCTGTTTGCATCTTGCTCACTTCTTTCACTGCTCTTTGTTCTCTCTTGGTGTTTTACACACTGTTCATCTCAGCCATCTAAAAGTGCTGCTGGTCTTGCCCGAGAGTAAATTGGTGGGTTTAGATGTCTTATAACGTACCTTTTGATTCTTGGATCGGGTAGGTGGATGTATGTCATCTGTGAATAAACACAACTGGAAAAATACTTGTTTGGAGGTAAGACAAGGTCTTACTTGTCCTGTTGGTTCATGTCACTTGTACTGTTGGTTCATGTCAGACATTTCAGAAGCGTTACAGGGTGTTCATATCTATTGCTGGGAGGTCTAGGTGAAGTGTAGGGACATTTGAGGGCCACCCTGTCAAGCAGGATGGGTTAGGAAAATACACATGGGCTATGCATATGAAGGAACATCAGCTTATGGTAAATAACTTCCTTTTCTAAGGCTAACAGCATTTGAAGAATCCCTGGATCTTTAAATGTTCTATGAATGCAGATATTCTGCGTTTAAGAGATGGTTACTGGGTATTTCCTAGCTACAGAAAAGGTAGGATGATTTCTGTTGGGGCTGAGAACTTCTGCAAAGAGGGCGTTGAAGTTTCCATGAAAACCTTTTAGTCATATGTCATTGGTTATGCTATCTATAATGTAATAAAAGTTTAAAGTACAGTAATTAATTACAAGTGTCATGCTTCTTTTTCTTAGGATACAATCACATGGACATGGCAAGGACCAGGAGCGTAAGTGGTTTATGTTTTATTGCTTATATCATGATTACGTTCCTTCATTAGTTTTTATTTACATGTCTTACAGGCTTATATAGTCAAGTAGTAATTGCTGGTTACTGGATTATTGTTTGGGATTCATTTGTGTCTTTTATCTAATATTCCTTAATTATAATAATATTCAGTTAGATGAATCCAGTGTAATTCTGCTGGTGTGATTTTGGTGGTTTGCAGAATTGATTTTAGGGGTTTTTTTGTGGTTTGGGGTTTTTTTGTAGCAACATACCTGAAATAAAACAACTTGCTTCTGCTCTACATATTTTATTGCCTGCAAATCAATTAGGTGTGTTTCTGTATAAAATCTGTATGGCTATTATTTGAAATTGGTCTAGTCCCACAGAAACAGTCAACCCACTCAGGGAATTTGGAGGTAATTTCCATTACCGTGCCTGAATGTGACTTTGATTTTATTTTTTTTTTAAAAAACAAAATGTTATTCTAGAGGTTCCTTAGGAAATTCATGTAATGTAAAATACTAAATGAGGCAGCTCTTGCTTTTTTAAAAAAACAATTTTTTTAGCATTATTTTCACATTGGGATTGGAGTAGAAGTTCTAAAATGTTTAAATGAAGATCAAAACAAGAAATTTTGAACCTTAAATAAAGGGCATTTGGATTCTATGGTTAATAGCTTGCCATTAGCCTTCTCCTTGGGAACTTTGTTTTGAATGTCCCACCTGAGATCCTGTATTGTAGCAGTAACGGGGAAACCGTTTGGATTAGCCAAGATTCAAGTAATTTAGAATTTTGTCAATTAATTTTGCACCTTCAAATAGACTAGGAAGCAGGTGTAATTAAGGGCACTTCTAGATTTGGAGACTTGAGGAAATCATTGATCACTTCTAAAGGTTCAGCTTTCAGTTAAATTGTCACATTGGAAGTAGATGAATCCATGGTAGTGTCTAAAGTAGGTAGGTACTGCAGCATTTACTGCGTGCAGGGATTTCTGTTCTCTTCTTTTGAGTTCCTGCCTCTTCCCTTGCATTTGCACTGCAGTTCATCTAGCAAATTAACTCAGCCAGGGGAAAAAAAGGTGAGTAGCTTACTTTCAGCTTAGTGTCCTACCTGAGGAGTCAAGAACACTCAGAAGGAGGAAGAAGAGGAAAGGAACTTGTAGGTGTGTTGCCTCCGATTACTTTAATGTGTACAAAACCTTTATTTGGAAGTGCTGACCTCTGCTAATAAAGTTAAATTAAATTAAAGCTGAATCAGAATCTGAGGTAGCATGTGATGTTATGCGAATTCACTGGGTCAGTTTAAATTACAGCTTTACTTAATTAGGATTAATTCTCTTGAGTGACCTAAAATGTATTTCTGATGTCTTAGCAGAAAATACTGTTAAGACTCATATAGTCTTCACTTTCTCAGCAAATGTCTCTCTTCGTCTGTCAGAGTGTTAGCCAAAACTTAATCTGGAAATGTTGTTGTATCCAGGAGTATTCTGTTTGTTCAAAGTTGATTTGACTTGTAAAATGGGTTGAAAACTGGTCACATGGAAACTATACACTTTCTTCCACTTTTGGGAAGTAATGTTTTTACTAGTTTGACAGTATTCAGAGCCGATCAACTGACTCTACCTTGAAAACAAAGATTGACTATAGCATACAACTTAATTTTTCTCTACATCAGACTTGTTAGATACAGGTTCTATCAGTTTTTTAAATTTATATTTATAATTTGAGGTTTAATCTTTGAGGATTACAGAGAGTTGGCACAGAGAAAAGTTTGCTTGTAACTTATTGGTGTTTTTTTTTTAATACTCTTGGACAATGACCTAGAAACCAGACTTTCACATTTCCTGTCAGTGATGTAAACTTCAGATCACAAGTTCCACTGTTGTTCTTGCTCCTTTTCTTTGCTTCAATGTGTTGGAAGTTCAGTAGGAAAGAAGGAGAAAAAAAGTGTGGTAGCCCTGAATGAGTGTGTAACATTGAGTAGGGTGCTGCTTCTAGGAACTGTGCTTTAAAGTGTGGTAGCCCTGAATGAGTGTGTAACATTAAAATGAGTAGGGTGCTGCTTCTAGGAACTGTGCTTCATCTGCCTAAGAGGATTTTGAGCAGCCTTCCCCTCACAGTGATTGACTGCTGTAACTACCTAGATACTGTATAAAATGTGACTACTGACACTGCTCCCAAATTTAGGTTTACTAAATCCTTTCCTGGATTTGAATCTTACTGCTTTCTAAGGTCAAGTTTATTCCAGTATCTTGTGTCTTAGGCTACTAAAACACATGTACTGCATTTCATTAACAGACTTCTGAAGTATAATGAACTTTGATTCCAAACCAAGGTAATGATAAAAATCTTAGTGGTTATAATTAATCTTGCCAACTCTATGCTGAAAACAGCATTTTCCTGAAACAGACTTACTCTTTCTTTACACACTACACATACATGATGCCTTACTGTATGTATTAGTATCTGTAAATCATATTACTCTTTGTCTTCCTGCTTTGGGGTATTTCTTAAGATGCAACTTCAGTGTAAATTGCTTTTGTTCCACTTTTCAAAATGTAATATATAGAAGTACTCTGAAAGACCTTTTCTGTTACTTTTGTATCTGAATATGATCATACCTACAAGTAGGAATGTTACTTGAAGACTTCGGAGCATAATGTACTACTGTTACACTACATGTAAATTTTTTTCTTCCATCCTTTTCCTTTTTTTTCCCCTTTTAGGTTAGAAATTCTGTGGCTTACTTTGTGTCAGTTTCACAATTCTGTGGAAATTGAGGTCAGTAAAAAAACCCCAGCGTATTCTGAGCAATATCAGAATCCATAGTATTGTACTTAATTCTGCAGTAAAAGTTTGTATTCAAACATTATATGTTAACACAGTCTGTAAAAACAGGTTAAAATACTGCTTATATTTTAAACAAATGGCTTCTGTATCTGGAAATGTAGCCTAAAAATGGAATAACAAAATACAGTTTTCCACTTGGCTTAAGACTTTACATTCTTATTCATTTAAATTGAGTAGATAGATTTCTGACTCTGTTTAAAGAGTCTTTTGTGAACAAATTTCTTGTCTTTTAATTGCTTGATTGCACTGATTCCAGCTAGTATACAAAATGTGTGTGTTAGATATCCAAGTGTGTGAATGCTGATGTACAAACTAAGGACTATCTTCTAGAGGAAAAACCACTGGAAGTGGTTTCTTACAGGCCAGATAGGTTATTTAATGTCTGGCTAATTTTTTTATTAGGCTGCACTGTAGTGAATGTGAAATTGGAAAACACAAATAAAATTTAAGTTTATGTGTATTCTTAACTTTGTTTGAGACTATTATAGTGAAAATGAGAAAACAATTGAAACCTTTCCTTTTCAATTGCTGTCCTTATGCATTTTACAGACAGTAATTACATTTCTGTGGAGAAGTAGGGTGTTTTAGAAGTGTTATATGGGCTATTTGACAGATGTTCTGCAGTTCTTTTGCTTACATTTTTTTAATAATGAAGTAGCTACTTTCTGGCTAATGGCAGGGTGAATTAGTAGGAAGAACTATTACATATTTGCATACACGTAGATTTTACTATTGTAACATATAACATGCTAATCACAGTATTTATCATTGCTATGCTCTGTGTTTACTAATTTATGCTATAAATTCTTCTCAGAAATAATGAATACATAAAATAACCAGCCACTGAACAGTTGATTCTATTGTAGAAATTTGTGGTTTGTGTCATCACTTTAGTTGCATGTTTTCAGCTATTAATAGTATATTAAAAAAAAGAACAATTAAAGATCTTACTTCCAAAACAGTGGCCTGGGTTTGGTAGAAGGGCTAGGGAGCAACTGCCTCACGCAGGGGTTAGGCAAACCAGCTGATTGGCAGGATGCTGAGTTTCTGTAGCACATGCAGAACTTGCACAAGGTCAAGTTACGATTTTTGGTCCTCTTCTGGGGAAAAAAAAAAAAGGCACTAGTGACTTTGTGAAATACTCCATACTAAAGCAGGAGCTGGCAGAAGGTGGAGGAACAGAGCTGTTTGCAAGGCTGCTCGCAAGTATGAGGCAGAATACTTGAGAGCTACTTGTTGATTCTGTTTTTGTAAGGAAGCGCTGCAGAAATAGGAACACAGAGGAAAAATGAATTGTTCTGTGTCCACAGTCAAGTTTTTCCCCTAGTCTCCAAATTTCGTTGGCTTTTATTCTTGCTTTGTTCCTTCAGCACAGGTATACTAGCAAATGCCAACCAGCCTTGATACCAGATTTACTGCTGAAGATCCAATACCTCAGGGGGATGTACAGCAAAACAACACAAATTCAGTGTGGTTTTGATGAAATGGTAGTTTGTAAGGTCTAACAGCCAGCAATCAGGATCTGAAGTTTGTTAGTCTGTGCTTCTCTGCATATAATGTATGTTCTGGCACACCATTTGTGTCATCCAGCATGCATATTGAGAAGCAAGCATCTATGTAGATTTTATAATAGGTTGCTATAAATATGGCCTGCCTATCCATCTGTCTTGTACTTGGAACTGGCATGCAAGAAATCTTGTGAAGAAGAAAAAGGGTATGTGATCACCCGCATGTTTGTTTTGGTTCATGTCAGTTTGTTTTGCTGGCCTGTCCGCTTCAGTGTTCATACATCCATCACAGTCTGCAGCAGCTGAGAGTTCTTCTCTTAGTTTTGTTAGTGGTGCTGAAATGATTGTGCTATTTGTGTCCAGTTAGGCACAGACACGTAGAACACCTCTGAAATTGCCTCATACTCAAACTTGTCCTGTGTTTGGATGAATGACTTGATAGCAATTTGCAACTCAAAGTAGAAGAAACAGAATTGGGCTTGGAAGTTGATGGAGCAGTCTTTCCGTGTCTCTTAGCTTCAGAGTCTTTGTCCTTTTATATATTACATTGCATCAGGCTGGCATACCTGCTCATAAACCTAGAAGACAGGAGCTGTACATTTTCAATTGCAGTGGTGCAAAAACTGTAGCAAAACCCCAAATAAATTTAAGATTTGTCCATCACTGAATACTTCTAAGGAACAGTTAGACAAACATTTAATGGCATCATTTTGGGTACTGCTGATCATACCATTATGCAGTGAGCTAACCAAGACCATGAGCTAACTTCATAGTTACTGAGAAGTATTTGCTTAAATGATAAACTTTATCCCCAATTCTTACTTTCTTTTTTAAAGAAGAAAGTGAAATTCTGGATCATAGTTCCCATTTTGTATTACCAATAGGTAATTATATGAAATATAACTAAGCTTATTACAAATTTGGTTTCTACTTCAGAAGCTTTCCGCATGATTACGAACATTTTGTTCACTTAGTGCATAAATTCTCTCATTGTGTTTCACTACTATGGGAATTGTTCGTCTGGTACTGATCAGGGGTGGGAATTGGAGTGATCCCATCTTGTTCCTTCCATCTGAGAAGTTAGTTACATAGCAGAAATGGGATGTTTTGAGGGTTTTTATAGGTGAGACTGGCCATGATTTTGGGGCTTACATCATATTTCAATGAACACTTAAAAACACAGCCAAAAGCTGGAAGGTCTTTTAATATAGTCTATCCCATTCTGAAAGCTGTGTTTTCTGTTGCAAGTCTCCAGCAGTTCTGGTTTAATTTTCCCTTTCCAGCCTCAATTGTTCTGTGTTTCTGTGGCCATCTGCATTTATATAGAATTTTTCTTTCAATTAAGTGTTAATATCCAGTGTCCAATTTGAAGGAGAATTTTTTCAAAACCTCCAACAACAGATGATAATGTACACATCAGAAGTTTTTTTAAGCAGTCATATATGATTTCAAAATGTGCAGGGGGAACAGTAAATACTGATGTCCTGAGAATTTGAATTCTTAATGTTTAAGCTATAGAACAATGTTCATGTAGCAGGTGCTTTTCTTGGTTATCTGCAAAAAGCTGAACAATGCAGGATGTAAAAGAAAAGTTTGTGCAAGAAAATGCTAATACTTTTAAATGATTTAAAAATTCCTGGTCCCACTTATGAAAGAAAAAACTCTGTACTCCAGGAGGTAAGAAACGAGCTGAGTCACTGTTATATGAATTTCTAGAAGTATGATGCATCCTCAGCATTTAAGAGTTCAATTTTTACTTTTTTTTATAGTCCTTTTGTTAATATAATTTTGTAAGTAGCAACACACTTTACACAACTTTCACCATAGTGCTATAATAGAGATTGTTTAAAATGTTAAATATTCTTGGTATAATTCAGTTCTCTGTATGCAGTTTCTACCCGTGTATATTCCTTCAGAAGAAGAAAGAAAAAATCCAGTGTTATATGCCAATAACGTCAGACGTGTAATGGCAGAGTAAGTATGTTGTAATATGGAATAAAAATAAATGTGTGATTTTAATTTTAGGATCAAGAAAAATGTCATGAAATCAAGTCAGTGTAGTTGCCTGCTTGCAAAGAAGCTTGTAGTCTGCAGTATTTATACAAAACATTTTATACAGAAGTTGCCTTCCTCTATAGGGAGGGCATGGAGCCACAAATACAGCAGGAACTGTAGGAGTTGCTTAGGTTTTTAACATGTCTTCATGTAACAAGCCAGTTCTGCTTGCTGCTGCGGGTATTTAGTCCTGTGGGGAGAAAGGTGTAGTTGAATTGTATGACAGTTAATGTAACTGTATTTTGTGCTATTGAGGTTGCATTTTAAGCTATGACTTTTTTTTTTAATGAGGTTAAAAATAGTTTCATGTATTTATTGTTAGCCTGTAGTTATTTCAGAACAGTAAAGCCCAGGAAAGCTGCTTGTGTTGGAAATATAGCACTGACACAATGCAAACAACTAGCTGAAACTGAATGTTAATGTGAGAACACTTAACACTTGTCTATAGTGTATAATAAAGCTAACATTGAATACACAGACCTTCATTCTCTTTTGTTGTATTTTAATTAACCTCTCTTGTTCATTCATGTTTTGTCCTTTCAGTAAATCTTCCATTAGTCAGATGTTCTTTTCAGTATTTACAGAGAACCCTCAGATCGGTGATCATTAATAACTCTTGAAGGATTTATGAATCTTTCTACTCCTAAATTTGAAAGAACTTTTAAAATCTTAATTTCCTTTGTGTAATTTCCCTTCTGTTTCTAAGTTACTAGTCTCAACCAAAGACCAGTTTGTAGACAGAAACTGGTAATTCTTCTCTGGTTTATAAGCAGAACCCTCTGAGTTTCCTTAAGGATGTTGGGCCTATAATATAACAATAGATTAAAACCTGATCCGTTGTATGAAAAAGACATTTCTCACAAAATTAAAAACCAAAAGGATCTATGTGAATCAACCTGTCTTAGAGTTGCAGTGGCCTCAAAGATTTTTGTAGTTCGAGTAAGACAGTCAACTGGCACTATATAAAAGTGTTGTCCTCAGACTTTGGGTAGAAGGCTGTGTTATGAAACCTTCATTCTGAACACCACTCCAGTTCAGTGACAGGGATTGTGTGGTATAAGGGGAAATTTTGAAAGACTACAGAAGTTTACAACAACCTGTGTGTTGAAAGACTTCCCTTCTATGTGTGCATTGTTTCTCCCTCCCACCTCTGAAGAATTAGGCATTTGGGGTAACAGAAGTGGGATGCAGGTTTAAAGAGGGAAGACTTGTCAGAATGGGGGATAGCAAATATAGCTGCAGATGCTGTGTTGATGTGAAAGGAAAATAAATGTGTTTGGATATTGAAGTTGCTGATTCCTAGATACTGTGGATTACTGTAGACCAGTTAAAATAACATCAACATAGCCAAAATTTATTTACTTCTGACCAGTTCCAGATGCTTACTTCTAGTGGCCATTCTCCAGACTCTCCCAGTTCATTCATGTGGCTTTTGGCATAGGATATACCAGCTCAGATGCTGTCGGTCTGTTCAGGAGCTGTAGCAGTTGCAACTCTAGCACCTCAGGTGCTAGTTGGTGCTAGCATTGCACTCTGCATTGCTGAATAAAGGTCAGTATTACTGGATCATCTAGATTTGTCTCCTTTTCTTTAAGATTGAGTCAGTGACAGTGTACCATTTTGATATCAAAGAGGTCACTTCAGGATCTGTTTAGAGGTCTGCTTTCCCTTTCCTCCCCATCATATTTTTTTGGAAGAAGAGTCTAATCCTACTGGATATTTTAGAGCAGCAGAGCTGACAGTCCCAGATAATAATGCATTTGTGAGTCTAGAACCAGTGTTGTGGCAAAACCTTCTGTCTTGCCCCTGATTTTAAGGGGAATTGATAGAACTTGCTGAGTGCAACAATAGATACAGTTTCCACTCCTGAAATCTGTTTGCCTTCATCATAATCTTGTCTCGTGAACAGCTTCTGGTAAGTGTTGAACAAAGCACTTGACAAAATGTCTGACTCTTATGCTGCTTCTACTTGGTGACTCTATGGAGAGTTTTTGGTTAAGCCTTATTTGTCTAGATTTTCTGTGGGCAGCCACAGATGCAAGTGATGGGGTTCTGTAGATAGTTCCTGTTCATTTATATATATAATTTGAATAGTTGACAAAGGAAATGCTGTCATTCACAGAGGTTTGCTTCTTTTGGACATTAGTTTCTTGTAGGACAGATTTTACTTGCCCAAAAAGTAAAATCCAAAGTGAGCCTGGCCTTTTGGCTCTCTGTATCAGGCAAAGGGCTTCAAGCATAACTGTTGTCCTGTGCTTCAGGTTCCCTCAGGCAGCCATGCCAATAACAAAGGAAATGCTATTTTTCAACTGCTGTAGTGCTCTACATGTCTTTATTGTAGTCCTCCTCATCCGGGATGACAAGAACTGTATACTTTTGAAGATGCATTCATTCAAGTGTTAATCCACCAGTTGTATCATTCATCTTTTCTGCTGCCATATACTATCCATTTGAGTATAAACACACTGGTTTGTTTTTCCTGGGCCATGTTGAGGATGATCATCTCATTGATGCAAATGTTGTGACCAGAAGTTACTCAGTTCAGATTATTATTCTGCAAGCACCCTTTTCCTGCTGCTTCTCAGGACTTCATTTCACAGATTTTTTTCTAAACTAAACCTAGTTTATGTTTTAATTAATTCAAATGTAATATGAGCTGATCTGGTCTTGGTTGGTGGTGTTCCAGTATTTGTGCACTGATCTGTCACCAAATTCCGCAAGAATCCAGGTGATACGTTTACATTTTTTTAAAGGACACTCTGCCATGGTAGAAAATGAACTTAAGGCTCACAACTTCTACAGATCTTTCAGTTGAGCCTGTGGCTCTTTGCTTTCTCCAATGCTAACTTGTAGTGGTATCTTTCATTGCAGTCCTTTTCATCAGGAGGATGAGCAAGATCCAAGCCTTAGTGGCTGATCACTTTACAGCATCTATAAAACCCCAAAGTTTCTTTCTAAAAGGGTTTCTTAATCTCACCTGTGCAATTACCAGTATTTTAATGTCTGTGATCTTCAACTCTTTTTCTCACTGACAGAATAAATATCCAGTAGCATTAGGCCAAAAACTAGAATCATGTGCAGTCTTGTTACAGCCACTCAACTCACTGTTTCTTCTTTTTGGGGATTATCTCTGTAGTCAGAACTGGAATTACTCATGCGGGATAGTCACTGCTGCTGAATAGTTACTCCATGCTTGTCTTCCTTTGGATCATTTTCTTACTCTGCACAAAAGGTATGTGCAGCTTAGATTAATCTACTAATTAAAGCATGTACACCTACTTATTCCCTATGAATATGCATTGCATTTGGTTTTATCTTACAACCTGTTTTGTTTGAGTCCATCTTTGGTCTTTCTGGCCTTGTTCTGACTGCTGCTCTGTTTAGTCAACATCCATCTCATCCGCAACATTGCTATCGGGAAGTGTTTTTAGAGTCACTTTCAAATCACTGAAAATGTTGAGTGCTTTTAAATACGGCAACAGTCCTTGCAGGTTCTCTCTTTAAAATAAATAAATAAAATTTGGTGGTATCTTGAGTTTTAATTCACTTTGTGTGTTCTTTATTGCTCTAATACAGTTCTGATGCCACCATGCTAGTAGGTCATGCCACATAGATACATATTACGTTGGCTCACTTTTTAAAGTACTACTTACAATTGCAAAATCGTTACTTTGGTCTTCATGTGCATGAACTGTTATCACCTTACATTGATGGTGGTCAACGTGGATTATTTTGATCTGCTAATAATTAATTTCAGCACTTACTGCTGCTTCTATATATTTTCTAGTTGAGTGTCAAGCTTTCTGGCCTATGTTGTTACTTTTTTTTAATATATCTTCGAAGTATTAACTCATGATTTGCTGGAACTACAGTAGTGGTGTAAAATTGTCAGTGTGTAGACTTGAGGTTTTAATCCCAGCTCTTCCAGAATTATTAGGAACAAATCATCTGACCTTGCCATCACAAGTATTTATTTCTAAAAATTTCTCGGTCATAAAGGAAACACCTCTACCACTGTTAAAGCATTGGAAAGTTTTTATTCTTAAGATGTGTCATCTTAATTGTTTCCTAATGAATTTACTGCTTATGACAGCTTTTTTTTGCCTCTTGGCAATTTTACTATCCTCAGCTAGTAGTAAGTTAGTCACTTTATATATTTTTTCTTATGCTTTAAAAACAGTCTTACACTTCTTAGCTGCATCAGTTGCAACTTTTTCTCTCTTTACCTTTCCCTATTGTTTTTCTGCATCATAGTTTTTAATTTACTGATACCCATTTAAAGTTTGTTTGTTTGGGTTTTTTTCCCCTAAAAAAATATTAGTTGTCTCTTTTAATTGTGGGATTGTAGCCTTTTACCTGTTGAATAGATTCTTGAACACAATTTTCATTAGCACTTCCATTCTGGAAGATATCTGATAGTTGTAAAGAAATCACAGTACTGTTTAGGGTATAGCAATACTGCTTTAAAGAAAAAGTAGGTAACTCTTCCACTCCCGCTTTGCAAAACAAAATTTGTTGGTTTGTTACCTTACTATCCATTAGGGCGCAAATACATTTCAAAGGAGTATGTCAGTAGCTCAGCTTCTAGTTAGTTGCGTGTACTTAGCACTATTCATTTTGTACACAGATAAACCAGTGGTAGTGCTAATTGTGAAAATCTGCACTGCAGGCTTTTTGTGAAAGTTTAAAGTAACCTCACCCGTAATTACAGATGTAAGCTGCTTAGATAATTAAACACAGGCCTGTTGGACACTTGTTAACATATAAACACAATTTGTTTTGCTTTAGTTTGTTATTTTCTCTTACAGACACTATCTTCAAAATAGGGAAGAATATGGTTTAGATGGCACAATTTGGAAAAAATGCAAGTTAAAATATTGCAGCTTTGTTAATTTCTTTTATGCATATGGCAGACTGAA